AYMATMATRMWWATAATAATAATAATAATAATAATAATAATAATAATAATAAAACARAAAAATACAAGGAAAATAAGCAGTAGCGAAATGATAATTCCAGATCACACCTTCACATCGAAAGTCAGATAGTATCACTGTGCCCTGAGAATAGCATTGCATCTMTAATACWCCAATGAAAGTTTKTAGTACTGAAAACCAAGTTCAAGGAGAGCAACGTATGGATCCGGAGCCCTTCTYCCTACTYRGCRTTTCGGCKTCCAGCCTACTCCTACACAGCTACTTTCTGCCTACTAATTGACAATGCAATAGTTGAYGTTAGCTGCCCACGAAGTACTTAAAGATGTYGCCCTCAGCAGACCATCACCAATACCAGGTATATGTCCTCACATYAATATCATCATCATCCTTTTCTCTMTCCCCCTCTGCTGGGAGAGGGATGAGCAACAGCGAATTCCAAGAACCAGACARATTCACATGCACGAGATCAAATAGTCGTGACCTTGCACCAAAAGCAGAACAGCATCACGAGTCCTACCTATTAAKAGCATATCAAAAGCTCGTTATTGACAAGGYTGGAGTAGTCTCATCATCATCGTCAAYGAAGAACCAAGGTTGATACCTTATCTGGTGCTCGGCGCCCAGACGACGGATGACAGATCCTACTTAGCTTATCTATAATGCTCAGGATGTTGGCATCAGTTTCCGAAGCACAAACAGACAGCGGTCAATGCTACCTGCTTCCATCATCAGATATGTCTCTCAGTCTTACCTCAACCTTCTGCTCTATTCCATGAGACGCCACGTGTACCTATGGACCATGCATACTAAATGAATAATAATAATAATAATAATAATAATAATAATAATAATAATAATAATAATAATAATAATAATAATAATAATAATAATACAGAAAAAATAAGCAACAGCAAGATGCCAAATCCAGACTTCATCAGATAATCATATCGAGTCCAGAGAACAACTTTGCACCAGTAATATGTTAATGGAGATTCGTAGTGCTGAAAAACCACGTCACGAAGAACATACTTTCCCCATACCAACATAAGAATCCTGTCCTTTTCTTCTCCTAGTAGACATTCATCGCCTAGCCTACTCCTACATGGCCACTTCAGCCTACGAGTAGATAACACGACCATTGACATCAGCAGCGACCTGTGGTACTTGAAGATGCCTCCTATGCAGACTATCCCCAATACAAGGTAAGTGCCTTCACACCACCATCATCATCATCATCACAGATACAATGCAGATATCCCTTCTGACTCGTCGTTTTAGATCACTAATGGAAGATCCCACTTGGCCTATTCCTTTACGACGATGATCGCTACAACGGTTACCTCAAAGTATTAACGGATCGCGGCCAAATGCCGCGCATATAGGTGCTAAGTAAGTACCTCGCTGGACTCATGAGTCATAATCTCATTCCTTATTCACAGATGCCACGTGGACTCAAGGACCTCTCATATAATTATAACAATAAATAATAATAATAATAATAATAATAATAATAATAATAACAATAATAATAATCATAATAATAATAATAGTAATAAGAGAGGTGAGAAATGGTTAATCTTTAGACATTGACAATACAACTGAAAAGTTAGTCGAGATCTTGAACCAAAAACAGGTCACCTTGCGGGTTCCTCCTAATAAGGACACAGCAACAGCTCTCCAGTGATGATGTGCGAACGATCCCACGTCGTTATCGAATCCGGCACTCTGCGCTCAGACTTACTAATGGCCGATTCTATCCAGCCTATCTACATCATCGCTGATGGCGTCAACAATTTTTGAAACCACTAGCAATTTTCGGATGATGCCGTAGGCTCAAACACCTTGTATGTCTCTTGCATTCACCCACAACTTCTCTCCCCAACACACAGATGCCACTTGCACCCAAGATCAAACATGCGCCCCACTTTTCCCTTACTTTCACTCGGCCGCCCCCTCTATCCGTCCATCTTTTCTACATAGTATCTGCCATTTTCACGGGAGTTCGTTTTCTTTCTCCTCGGGGACTAACTTTCTTTCCGCTCGCACCTGTTTCCTTCTTCACACTTCTCTCCTTCTCTCTTGCGGCATTTTCTTTCACCCGCTATATTTCCTCAGCGATGCTCATTTTGCCTTTCAAACTCTTCTTTCACTCCTCTTCTCTCGCTTTCTCCTCCCTTACTTCCCCTACTTCTCTCGTTTGTTTCCCCGAACGTGCATACTGTTGTCAAAATCAGGGTCTGACAATAATACCAATAGTAACACTAATAACAATAATAATCATAATAATAAAATAATAATATTGATAATAATAATAATAATAATAATAATAATAATAATAATAATAATAATAATAATAATAATAATAATAACATAAATAATAATATAGTGAC